GGCCAGCAAAAAGAAACCTCACTGGATGGACAGATGAATGGATGAAGGATGAATGAATAGATGGAAGATGGATGAATGGATGGATTGATGTATGAATGGATGGATGGATGATGGATGGACAGATAGATGAATAGATAGTGAATGAATGATGGATGGATAGCTGCATAGATGAAGGTTGTATTAATGAATAGATGAATGGATAGATGATGGATGGCTGAAGTCAGAGATGGAAGGATAGTTGGACGGATAATGGACGGACAGATGGATGAACAGATAATGAATGGATGATGGATGATGGTTGTATTAATGAATAGATGAATGGATGATGGATGTATGAATGAATGGATGGATGATGAATGGCTGGAGTCAGAGATGGATGGATAGTTGGATGGATAATGGACGGACAGAGGGATGAACAGATAATGAATGGATGATGGATTTGTATTAATGAATGGATGGATGGAAGGATGGATGGATGGATGGGCGAATGCTGGATGGACGAATCATGGATGGATGATGATTGGATGAAAGGATGCATGAAAGCATGGGTGAGTGTACCTTAGGGCAGTCTTCTCCAGCATAACCCGCTCTGGTAGAGAAAGAGCCGATGTCAAACACCAGTGCCCCCACCTCATCTGAGAGAAAGAGAGAGATAGAGAGAGAGAGGGAGAGAGGAAGAAAAAGAAACAACATGTCACTGTCTGAGAGACAGTGGATAACTGTCTGAGAGCAGTGCGAGGGATCAGTGTTATTGAATGCTTCCTCTGGACTTTGGGAAAAGCGGAAATGGTGGCAGTCAGAAAGCTGCTGACTAGTTTTGTCTGGACAATAAAAACATCTCTCCAGTGCTTTGACCTGCAGGTAGCCACGTTAGGGATGATGGAAATACAATGATGATGGAGATACAGATAGGATGGAGCTACAGTGATGATGGAGTTACAGTGATGATGCTGCAGTGATGATGGAATTACAGTGATAAAGCTGCACTGATGAAGCTGCAGTGTTGATGGAGTTAAAGTGGTGAAGCTGCAGTGATGATAGAGATGCATTGATGATGGAGATAAAGCTACAGTGGTTATGGAGTAACAGTGATGAAGCTACAGTAATGATGAAGCTGCAATCATGAAGCTGCAGTGATGATGGAGATACAAAGAAGATGTAACCACAGTGACAATAGAGCTACAGTGATGATGAAGCTACAATGATGATGCTGCAGTGATGATGAAATTACAGTGATAAAGCTACACTGATGAAGCTGCAGTGTTGATGGAGTTAAAGTGGTGAAGCTGCAGTGATGATAGAGATGCATTGATGATGGTAATAAAGCTACAGTGGTTATGGAGTAACAGTGATGAAGCTACAGTGATGATGAAGCTGCAGTGATGATGGAGATACAAAGAAGATGTAACCACAGTGACAATAGAGCTACAGTGATGATGAAGCTACAATGATGATGCTGCAGTGATGATGAAATTACAGTGATAAAGCTACACTGATGAAGCTGCAGTGTTGATGGAGTTAAAGTGGTGAAGCTGCATTGATGATAGAGATAAAGCTACAGTGGTTATGGAGTAACAGTGATGACGAAGCTACAGTGATGATGGAGATACAGAGATGATGCAGCTACAGTGATGAAATTACAATGATAAAGCTGCAATGATGATGGACATACAGAGATGATGTAACTACAGTGATGATGAAGTTACAGTGATGTAGCTACAGTGATAAAACGACAGCGATAAAGCAGCAGTGATGATGGAGATACAGTGATGATTAAGCTATAATGATGAGGGAGCTACAGTGATGAAGGAAATACAGTGATGATCGAGGTACAGTGATGATGCTACAGTGATGATAAATATGCAGTGATGCAGCTACAGTGATTATAAATATGCAGTGATGATGGAGCTACAGTGATGACGGAGCTACAGTTATGATGGAGCTACAGTGATGATGATGCTGCAGTGATTATGGAGCTACAGTTATAATGGAGCTACAGTGATGAATATGCAGTGATGATGGAGCTACAGTTATAATGGAGCTACAGTGATGAATATGCAGTGATGACAGAGCTACAGTGATGATGGAGCTACAGTGATGATGAATATGCAGTGATGATGGAGCTACAGTTATGATGGAGCTACAGTGATGATGATAATGCAGTGATGATGGAGCTACAGTGATGACGAATATGCAGTGATGATGGAGCTACAGTTATGATGGAGCTACAGTGATGAATATGCAGTGATGATGAAGCTACAGTGATAATGAATATGCAGTGATGATGATGCTGCAGTGATGATGGAGCTACAGTGATGATGATGCTGCAGTGATGATGGAGCTACAGTTATAATGGAGCTACAGTGATGAATATGCAGTGATGACAGAGCTACAGTGATGATGGAGCTACAGTGATGATGAATATGCAGTGATGATGGAGCTACAGTTATGATGGAGCTACAGTGATGATGATAATGCAGTGATGATGGAGCTACAGTGATGACGAATATGCAGTGATGATGAAGCTACAGTTATGATGGAGCTACAGTGATGAATATGCAGTGATGAAGCTACAGTGATAATGAATATGCAGTGATGATGAATATGCAGTGATGATGGAGCTACAGTGATGATGGAGCTGCAGTGATGACGGAGCCTCTCTCTATCTTACCTCCTCCATAAACTCCACCGCTCATGTCTCTCCTTCAGTCCCTCCAGCTTCCCCCCCCTCGTGCGCGAATCTCGTGTTTACAATCCGCGACAAACCGAAGCTGGAAATCACTCCTGTGTCACGCGTGCCTCGTCTCCTACACCACGAGCTGCAGCTCGGCAACGAGCGTGCGTGTGCGCGCGCACATCTTCTGCTCAGACACACACACACACACACACACACACACACACACAGAGAGAGAGAGAGAGAGAGAGAGAGAGAGAGAGAGGTACAGAGATAGAGAGAGATACAGACAGAGAGAGAGAGAGAGGAATACACAGAGAGAGAGAGGTACAGAGAGAGAGAGATACAGAGAGAGAGAGAGAGAGAGAGAGAGAGGTACAGAGATAGAGAGAGATACAGAGAGAGAAATAGAGGTACAGAGAGAGATACAGAGAGAGGCACAGAGATAGAGAGAGAGAGAGAGAGAGAGAGAGAGAGAGAGAGAGACAGAGAGAGAGAGAGAGAGAGAGAGAGAGGTACAGAGAGAGATACAGAGAGAGAGAGAGAGGTACAGAGAGAGAGAGAGAGTTACAGAGAGAGAGAGAGAGAGAGATACAGAGAGAGAGAGAGACAGAGAGAGAGGGAGAGATACAGATACAGAGAGAGAGACAGAGAGAGAGAGAGAGAGAGGGAGGTGGTGCTGTAATGTCAGTGGCTCTCTATCAGCTCTAGTCTGTAGGGAATTTTGCCACGTTCAGCTTTTGTTTCTCACGTGAAGAACTGCGCTGCTTTTCCCCTTTACGGACCTCAAAAGCTCGAGGAAGGAGGGATGAACAGAGGGAGGAGAGAGGGATGCAGAACAGGAGGAGGAGTGTAATATGGCGGGTTCCCGCTGTGCTGAGTTTGAAGCTGTCAAACTGCGCCCCCTGCTGGCCTCTGCAGCATTACACACAATGTCGATGGATGTGATCAGTGTTAGAAATGCTGCTGATAGTGTTTCCCATCATGCAACACTGACTGATTATGCTGCTTCTTGATCAGCGCCTCTATCAGCACTAAACACCGGAACTAACTTAATAAAATTAAGCCAATCACAGCCTCACGCCACGCCCACTTTCACCAGACTGACACTGCCAGAACAGTAAAGATTAAACATAAGTAAATAAATAAACAATGAATCATTTTAATATCACTGAAGCAGTTAATAAATATATTATAGTTAAATGTGCAATAATAAACGGTAATAAACCATTTCAGTTATTAACCATTTACTTAGTTACATATAAATAATCAATAATCATTTAGAATTGTAGAAAACTAATGATAAGTTTATTATTGTGAATAATGAATCATTAAAAAAACCATAAATTATATACGTGGAAATATCAAGCATTTGCTTAGATACATGAAACAATTCAAAATTATTATTATTATTATTATTATTATTGATAACTACTTATTGAATAACTAGTAATTGTCTACACCCTGTCTTGAATAATTATATTAAGTGAATAAGGTAGTCATTTACAGTGTTGTTACTTATACTTTTTAAAAATGAGTAATTATTAATTAGACTCTATTAGATATTATAAACTTGCAGCTTTATAATGTTTCAATAACGATCCTTTAATTATTTGTATTTTACTAAATAAATGGTTAATAAAAAGATGTAATTAATAACTTTTATTTTATATATATATATATATATATATATATATATATATATATATATATATATATGCAAAAATAGTTGAGAAAATGTATATTAAAGTATTTATACATAGTGAAGGTTGAAGAAGCACAAATAACAATGTATACAGAACATTAACTAATGATTAAGTTTATATAAGTATATTTATACACACATTTATGTGAGTGTGTGTGTGTGTGTGTGTGTGTGTGTGTGTGTGTGTGTGTGTGTGTAAATAAACAAAAACACAAAGAACCCATGCTAAAATCTTCCTGTATGAGTTCCATTTATTTTTGATGTATGCATATAAAAATATAAAAATAATAAATTATTCAACGTAAGTTAGACAGATAGATCGATAGATCGATCGATAGGTGACAGTATGAGTGCACGGACTCTTATTTGTGACACACATGTAGTCAGTCTGTTTTTGTCGTGTTTTATTTTGCCCCTTTAAGCCCCTCCCCGGTGTCCGGTTCCAGCAGTGACCCCCTCTCCCCGCCCGGTCTGTGAGGGGGATTCCGTTTCCCGCAGCTCTGTGTCTGAGTGGCTGGGTGAGCTCGCCCCCCTCCGCAGCGCCGCAGTGGTACAATCCGGCCGCGCTGCGCTGAGAGCGGACCGCACCACTGCGCCGCTGCTGGGGGACAAACACGGAGGAAAAGTTTTAGTTTCAGTGGTCAGGACCGGAGAGTTCGGCCATGGGGGAGATCTAACCGGACACACTCTCTCTCTCACTCACACACACACTCACACACACATACACACACTCACACACATACATACACACACGCTCGGACAGCAGCGCGCCCCCCCTCCGGTCCCGGTGAAGGTGAGTCCGGTTTACTCCGGGGGTCCGGTACCTAGCGGCCCGCGAGGAAGGGCTAGCGTTAGCACGTTAGCGCTAGAGGTACAGACAGTATGGGAGGGGTCAGGGGTGCTGTAATATATTCACAGAGATCAGAGAGAGAGAGAGATCGAGAGAAAGAGAGAGAGACATAAAGAGTCTGTAGCTGATCAGTCATGCGCTCCTGTCACCCTTACTTCGAATTGTCCGTTCCACCTTAAATGGTGCCCCAGCATTTAAGGTGGAACGGAAAATTCCAATAAGACATACATATAAATACTGAAGTTTCTCCTGCTGCCAAATCTGGACCTTGAAGGGAAATTCCACCCAAATTGCCAATATAATTCAGATGTAATCAGAGTGATTCAGAGTGGTTTGGTGTGAAATGGTTCAGATGTCTTTACAGTGGTGGTGATAGGAACCAGGGGTCGCCATGACTACAACACAGATATAGACATTTTATTTACTATCCAGAACCACCAGTGAACCTACACGAGTCTTCTGAGTTTATATGGAATGTTGATGATGGAAAATAGTGGAAAATCTGAAATAATAAGTTTTCTTTGGGGACTATTTTGCTTTTAGAGGTGGACGTCCATCACCAAAACACTCTGAATGGCTGTGTTTACATCTTAACTCACTTATGCACAAATTTTGGGAACTTGGTGGAATTCTCCTCTTCTGAGTGAAACAGCCAGGGAAAGGAAAGGAGAGCGAGAGAGAGAGAGAGAGAGAGAGAGAGAGAGAGAGAGAGAGAGAGAGAAAGAGAGAGAGAGAGATTGTTTTAGGTCTGAAATACTTCAGTAGTGATGTAAGGCTGCAGTGCTGCTCACCTCAATTCGGCTCTTACAGCTCAAATCCAACACAGACATCAGCGGTAACTCATTATCACAGAGCAGAACCGCCCGGTTTCACAATATACACACTTTCAGCACTCGCTCCTCCACAACTGCAGGAAATCAGACTGTTTCAGTAACTGGTGCAGTGCGTTTACACTTAATAATCTGATAACTGTAGAAAATCAGATTGGGTCAGTAACTGATTCAATGTGTTTACAATTAATAATCTGATAACTGCAGAAAATCAGACTGTTTCAGTAACTGGTTCAGTGCGTTTACACTTAATAATCTGATAACTGTAGAAAATCAGATTGGGTCAGTAACTGATTCAATGTGTTTACAATTAATAATCTGATAACTGCAGAAAATCAGACTGTTTCAGTAACTGGTTCAGTGTGTTTACACTTAATAATCTGATAACTGTAGAAAATCAGATTGCGTCAGTAACTGGTTCAGTGCGTTTACACTTAATAATCTGATAACTGCAGAAAATCAGATTGTGTCAGTAACTGGTTCAGTGTGTTTACATTCAGTAATCTGATAACTGCAGAAAATCATACTGTTTCAGTAACTGGTTCAGTGTGTTTACACTCAATAATCTGATAACTGCAGAAAATCAGATTGCGTCAGTAACTGATTCAGTGTGTTTACACTCAATAATCTGATAACTGCAGAAAATCAAATTGTGTCAGTAACTGGTTCAGTGTGTTTACACTTAATAATCTGATAACTGTAGAAAATCTGATTGTGTCAGTAACTGGTTCAGTGTGTTTACACTTAATAATCTGATAACTGTAGAAAATCAGATTGCGTCAGTAACTGGTTCAGTGCGTTTACACTTAATAATCTGATAACTGCAGAAAATCAGATTGCGTCAGTAACTGGTTCAGTGCGTTTACACTTAATAATCTGATAACTGCAGAAAATCTGATTGTGTCAGTAACTGGTTCAGTGTGTTTACATTCAGTAATCTGATAACTGCAGAAAATCATACTGTTTCAGTAACTGGTTCAGTGTGTTTACACTCAATAATCTGATAACTGCAGAAAATCAGATTGTGTCAGTAACTGATTATGTGTTTACACTTAATAATCTGATAACTGCAAAAAAATCAGATTGTGTCAGTAACTGATTCAGTGTGTTTACACTCAATAATCTGATAACTGCAGAAAATCAGACTGTTTCAGTAACTGGTTCAGTGTGTTTACACTCAATAATCTGATAACTGCAGAAAATCAGATTGCGTCAGTAACTGGTTCAGTGTGTTTACACTCAATAATCTGATAACTGCAGAAAATCAGATTGGGTCAGTAACTGGTTCAGTGTGTTTACACTTAATAATCTGATAACTGTAGAAAATCAGATTGGGTCAGTAACTGGTTCAGTGTGTTTACACTTAATAATCTGATAACTGTAGAAAATCAGATTGCGTCAGTAACTGGTTCAGTGTGTTTACACTCAATAATCTGATAACTGCAGAAAATCAGATTGGGTCAGTAACTGGTTCAGTGTGTTTACACTTAATAATCTGATAACTGTAGAAAATCAGACTGGGTCAGTAACTGGTTCAGTGTGTTTAGCCTCAATAATCTGATAACTGCAGAAAATCAGATTGCATCAGTAACTGGTTCAGTGCGTTTACACTTAATAATCTGATAACTGTAGAAAATCAGATTGCGTCAGTAACTGGTTCAGTGTGTTTACACTTAATAATCTGATAACTGCAGAAAATCAGATTGCGTCAGTAACTGGTTCAGTGTGTTTACACTCAATAATCTGATAACTGCAGAAAATCAGATTGCGTCAGTAACTGGTTCAGTGTGTTTACACTCAATAATCTGATAACTGCAGAAAATCAGATTGGGTCAGTAACTGGTTCAGTGTGTTTACACTGAATAATCTGATAACTGTAGAAAATCAGACTGGGTCAGTAACTGGTTCAGTGTGTTTACACTTAATAATCTGATAACTGCAGAAAATCAGATTGCGTCAGTAACTGATTATGTGTTCACACTCAATAATCTGATAACTGCAGAAAATCAGATTGCATCAGTAACTGGTTCAGTGTGTTTACACTCAATAATCTGATAACTGCAGAAAATCAGATTGTGTCAGTAACTGGTTCAGTGTGTTCACACTTAATAATCTGATAACTGCAGAAAATCAGATTGTGTCAGTAACTGGTTCAGTGTGTTTACATTCAGTAATCTGATAACTGCAGAAAATCATACTGTTTCAGTAACTGGTTCAGTGTGTTTACACTCAATAATCTGATAACTGCAGAAAATCAGATTGGGTCAGTAACTGATTATGTGTTTACACTTAATAATCTGATAACTGCAGAAAATCAGATTGTGTCAGTAACTGGTTCAGTGTGTTTACACTCAATAATCTGATAACTGCAGAAAATCAGACTGTTTCAGTAACTGGTTCAGTGTGTTTACACTCAATAATCTGATAACTGCAGAAAATCAGATTGCGTCAGTAACTGGTTCAGTGTGTTTACACTCAATAATCTGATAACTGCAGAAAATCAGATTGGGTCAGTAACTGGTTCAGTGTGTTTACACTTAATAATCTGATAACTGTAGAAAATCAGATTGGGTCAGTAACTGGTTCAGTGTGTTTACACTTAATAATCTGATAACTGTAGAAAATCAGATTGCGTCAGTAACTGGTTCAGTGTGTTTACACTCAATAATCTGATAACTGCAGAAAATCAGATTGGTCAGTAACTGGTTCAGTGTGTTTACACTTAATAATCTGATAACTGTAGAAAATCAGACTGGGTCAGTAACTGGTTCAGTGTGTTTAGCCTCAATAATCTGATAACTGCAGAAAATCAGATTGCATCAGTAACTGGTTCAGTGCGTTTACACTTAATAATCTGATAACTGTAGAAAATCAGATTGCATCAGTAACTGGTTCAGTGTGTTTACATTTAATAATCTGATAACTGCAGAAAATCAGATTGCGTCAGTAACTGGTTCAGTGTGTTTACACTCAATAATCTGATAACTGCAGAAAATCAGATTGCGTCAGTAACTGGTTCAATGTGTTTACACTCAATAATCTGATAACTGCAGAAAATCAGATTGGGTCAGTAACTGGTTCAGTGTGTTTACACTGAATAATCTGATAACTGTAGAAAATCAGACTGGGTCAGTAACTGGTTCAGTGTGTTTACACTTAATAATCTGATAACTGCAGAAAATCAGATTGCGTCAGTAACTGATTCAGTGTGTTTACACTCAATAATCTGATAACTGCAGAAAATCAGATTGCATCAGTAACTGGTTCAGTGTGTTTACACTCAATAATCTGATAACTGCAGAAAATCAGATTGTGTCAGTAACTGATTATGTGTTCACACTTAATAATCTGATAACTGCAGAAAATCAGATTGTGTCAGTAACTGGTTCAGTGTGTTTACACTCAATAATCTGTTAACTGCAGAAAATCAGATTGCGTCAGTAACTGGTTCAGTGTGTTTACACTCAATAATCTGATAACTGCAGAAAATCAGACTGGGTCAGTAACTGGTTCAGTGTGTTTACACTTAATAATCTGATAACTGTAGAAAATCAGACTGGGTCAGTAACTGGTTCAGTGTGTTTACAATTAATAATCTGATAACTGTAGAAAATCAGACTGGGTCAGTAACTGGTTCAGTGTGTTTACACTTAATAATATAATATGAACAAACGTCGTCTAGAAGATGAGGAATATTTAAATCCTTCATTTCGTTGAGCATGTACATGAACAGTATGTTTAACTGGTGTCATATAGCGCCCCCTGATGTAGCGTTAGCTGCTGCAGCCTGTAGTGGGTCAATAACACTTGGCGGAGAAAGTCACAGCGTTAACTAATCTGTGCGCTGCAGAACCTTTTAATGGGTTCTACTTTTTTAGCAGGGTTTGTATTGACCTCCATAGCTGCTTCCTCACCTCTCGCTCACTGTTCAGCTCAAACCCTGCCTCTCAGCCGATCGGGGGTCAGGGGTTATGACACTGCTGTGGTTATGAACCCTCAATAGGTCGGATCATTTGACCTCTGTAGGGATTCCCAATAAACCCTCTTCACACTTTCTGTATTTAACGCAGCACAGCAGGGAAAGCGTTACAGTAGTGTCTGCATTTACCAGTG